AGTCCTCCAGGCTTAAAGTTGCCAAGGTTGGAGACCCCTGTACTAAAGAGCCTAGGAAGATGAAGCCACAGGTGAGGCATTGACAGACACCTAGAAACCTAACGGGGAAGCATTTAGTATTTATCTGGAGTTTCATAACTGGAACTCAGGCTTAGGAATGTTTCCCCCTTCTTCCTCGCTGTGCCCCGAGAGCCGTGAGTAGCCAAGTCTCTGGTCCTCCTCTAGGCCAGGGTCTCCATCCTTCCCCCTGGTCGGTACCAACCTGGCACTGGTTCAGCTCCTCGGTCAGGCTCCTGACTTCTTCCTCCAGCACAAAGATCCGGGATGCTGCCGCAGAAGCCGGATCCTTGCGTTTGGAAGAAGCCATGCTTAACTTGGACCGCGCTTGGATTACCCTAAAGATCACTTTTCACGCGCGTGTTTACCGACTTTCTGTGGGAACCGGGAGGGAAAGCGACTGGGGTAACTAACAACAACGGGGGGAGAAAAATAAACAAATCTTCGCTGACCGCCCAACTTAGGCGCCATAAGAAGATTACAAACGCTCCCGAGAACCAATGAAACAAAAGCTTTCCCCAAGGCACCGCCTTCTTCTTCTTCTAATACCCACCCCAACGTCCTCCTCCTTAAAAAAAAAAAAAAAAAACATTCATGTAAGAACATGCGGGTGGCGCTGTGAACCACAGAAAAAAGGACGTAATGTCAGGTTGTCGGTTTAAACGAGTGAGCGGCAAAAGGCGGAAGTCAAAAAGAAGATGGTGGGGTATTGGGTTGTTGTTTTTTAGTATCTTTATAGGGCATGCGCAAAGCTTTCCCGCCTAACTGTTCCGCTGTTTTTAGTTTGGGACGCGGTTTTCGTTTCGGGGATTTGTCGTTTGAAAGTCATTTGCTTGCGAATCCCGCCTTTCTCATCGGATGGTTTTCGCCTCAACCAAACGTCTGTTAAAGCAACAAGCTACCGTTTCCTAAGCAAAAAACCATGAGTTGACAAGTTGCGTCCACAACTTTAGCGGCTTGAGTTGTATTAAATGTATTCTTCAGGACGTCATTGTGTATGGACCTTATTTTACATTCGGCCCCCCAGAGCTCTATAGTTGATTGACCCATTCAAAAGTCAGATTAGCTTGCTGCACTTCTACATCTTTTAAGAATAACAGGGAGTTTCAGTGATGTAGCTGAAAGATACTTCTGGTAGTTCAGGGCAAATACAGCTAGTCCTCGACTTACAACAGTTGGTTTACACAAAGGTGCTTTTTCAGGAGGCAACTGGACTTTCTTGTTTTTTTCTTTTGAATACATTTCGCTTCTCATCCAAGAAGCTTCTTCAGCTCTGACAGGATTAGTAGGGAATGTAAGAGCTGAAGAAGCTACTTGGATGAGAAGCGAAACGTCTTCGAAAGGAAAAAACCAAAAAGTCCAGTTGCTTCCTGAAAAAACACCTTTGGGACAACCATGACCTGGATGACTGAGAATCTCTACAGATTTTTAACAATTTCATGACCGAAGTTACAACGGCACTGAAAATAGTGACTTATGACCATTGTTCACACTAATAAACATCCTCATGGTAATGTGATTTACAATTGGATGCTTGACAACTGACTCATATTTATGATGGTTGCACCCCAGCTCTGCAAAGGGAGAAAACGATGCCATACATCACGTGTCTGCAACATGACACTGCGAGTTTGACACCTGTGTTGTAAGATCTAGTGCAGATCCATATTAACAGCATCTATTGATCAATTTGTTTGGTAGGGAAATTGCTAGGGGTCTAATAGCAGATCTGTGATGTTCTTCAGGTGGGCCAACTCTAGCCTTTCAAATATTTTCATAACTACGGATTCTTCATCCTACATATATGTCATAGTACCAATCCTAGAGGGAGACAGTCAGCTGGAGATAATTAAATGAAAGAAAAAGAATTCAGAATTCAACTCTGCTGGCAAAAACATTTCTTCAAATTATCAGGGGAAGAAATCAGGACAGATTGGGATGTTTGTTTGCTTTTTTTCAAATAGTCAAACTAGAAGTAGGGTGAGGTTTGACCTTGCACAGTGTGTGTAGGCTGTCACAGAAAATTTAAAAATTTGAGAACATTACCTGACATAAAGGGGATTGGTTGGAAAGTGGAACAAGTTAGAATTCATTCTCAGGGAGTGAAAAGTACATGGCCACCCAAAAGAAAAGAACAATGCTTTTTAAACTTAGGTGTGGACTTGGAAGGGACAGCTAAGTCCACGGCCACCCAAGCTTCAAGCATTAACCAGAGGACATCAACAGTGAGATGAGGCCTTTGGGGATAGCAGCTGGGAATGTACACCCACACATCACACCATCCAGTTCAGGGGCCTCAATACAATTCACAAAACATAAGCTTACCCTATTCTCTAGATTTGGGGAGCAGAAGAGTATTTTTCACTACAAGCTATTTCTCTGTAAGCACTGAAGCTGCAAACGAGCCCAATGTTTATACTAGAGAAAGCCATTTTATCAGAAAAGGACAGCGCTTCAAGGATAAGAAAAAGTCTGCCCAAAGTCTATTAGCTAACAAAAGTGGGAAGATAGGGCCCAGAATATGAATCTTAGTAGGAAGAGAAATGGTAGGTTTCCTATGTGCAGCTACACATGAAGCTGGGTTTTTTTTTTTTTTTTTTGTATGTATGGCTTTCTGATTTCATTAATACAGTTTGCTTATCTAATCTTTTATTTGCTTGGGAATGTCAAGCTGAGAAAAAAATGAGTGTTTTCTGGACATCCCTATTATGAAGTCTTGACAGCTTCTCCCTAAATATTGGACTCCATAGCACGTTCATTTTGTATTCCCTCCTCCTACTTTCCTCAAAATAGTGGCTAATAATAAAATTCTAGTTAACATTTTGACATTTAATAACTGAAAACTTATTTTAAAAACTCATGTTTATACAAAACACCCAAAGTACTAAAATCTAATTCTGTAACAAATTGGTTTAAGAGCTGAACGAAAAACATCTTTACCTGCCTGCAGAATTTCCACAGAGAGAAATTCAGTGGCTGTAGAAGTTTATAGAATCTAGAAGCAACCACCAAAAGATCCGTTTTCAGATTTCTGACGAAGATGCTTTGAACAATGATGGAGCACAGAAAGAATCCTAAAGCTTCTGCTTCTTCATGTGGTTGACTAAAGTCTTTCAAAGTATAGGGCTTTTTAGATTATAAACAGTGCCCAGAATTATATTTGTACTCAACAAACTTGTTCCGTCAAGCAAATTTCATATCTTGGTAATTGATCCTAGTTAAGAATCTGCAGCATTCTAGACCAGCTGAAGTGTCTAAGCACTTCTGGGAGGGTTGTGACTCAGTTTAAAAAATCATTCATCTTTGGCTGAGCTGGCAGAAAACCACCAACATAAAATTTGCAGTTATCGGTAACAGCCTCCATCCTACTTCTACAACTTATGTTCTGGCTCGCCCCTGAAATGTGGTATCTTGGTTTCAGGTGCACAAGACATGTCCAACGAAGCCATTTTTAAAATGCTTTGACTTTACTGCTTTCCCCCTTTCTGAACATCACCAGCCAGTGGGAAACCATCGCTATGATGGGTGGATGGTTTTGGCAAAGTTTAGCTGTCACTCAAATCTCACTACTCCCTAGACTCCTCCAGAAAGCCAATCAAATGATGGTCTGCCCAATAAAGCAGGAGGATTGTCCCATTTGTTAGGCAACATTTATCCCTGCCAGTTAGATGTTCAACAGCTGGAAGAACCACCAATATTGCAGTAACCATATCCTACTCCTTCCTCATCCTCCACCCCAAAAAGATGGGTCAGAATAAAGTGCTTTGGATCAAAATGGAAGGGGCAAAGCTGAAATGATCAACAGATGGTAAGAAATCCCCCCACTAAAAAAGCCCCACAGCTTAAATGGGTTGTGGTATTTCAAACAGACTGGCAGCAGGACCAATCCAAGAATACATGAATCCAGGAATGAATCCAAGAGCTCCTTTTGCAGATGCAAATGAGAAGATGCTAGAGAATCTAACTAATATAGCACAGATTTAGTTCCAGGGCCTTGGTCTACTTAGTCATGACCAGGAACACCTGGAATGAGTTACTCTTCAATTATGTTTCCCTGATCCAATCCATTTGTAATATCAGAATAAATTAGAACTTTAACAGCTTCTGTAGATTTAGGTAGAGACAGAATTGTATGTGATCAACATATTTATTTATTTATTTATTTATTTATTTATTTTGTCAAGTGATTATAAGATAGCAGGTATAAGTATATACATAGTTATGAATACATGAAATGGATGCATATAAGAAAAATAAAAGACACAATAAAAGAAACAATAGGACAGGGACGGTAGGCACATTGGTGTGCTTATGCACACCCCCTATGCATGACATAGAACCCGAGAATTCAGAAAATGCTGCAGCACTTTTAAACTGTAGGAGAGCCAGTTTAAAAATGTGAAGCGTGCAAACCAGCACCTGCATTTTCTGAGGAGAGCACATCTTTGTCCCTCTATCCTGGCCATTTTTTACAGAGGCAAGGTTGAGAGAGCATTTTAACAAACTGCATCACTGTTTGGTTTGGTGGCAGCAGTGCCTCAGATAGAAAATCCATTCAGAGAGTGGTAAGGACAACCAAGAAGATTATAGGAAGCTCGCTTCCTGTTATTCAGGATACTGCTTATAAGCGCTATATGCTTAGAGCTCAAAGCATTGTTAGAGACCCCACACATCCACTTCATGGTCTGCTTCTGTTGCTCCCATCTGGGAGGAGGTTTCGAAGTATTTCTAGAAGGACTTCCAGATTCTGTAACAGCTTTGTTCCCTAGGCCCGTGATGGCAAACCTATGCCACGCATGCCATTTCCCCCAGTACGTGACAGTCCGAAAGAGCCCCACTGCACATGAGCGTGTGCCACTGCCACCCGACAGCTGATTGTCTGGTATCTGGTGTGCATGCGCGGGGGGTGAAAGTGCGCAGGATACATGCGTGCATGCGCACAGATGCGCAGTGCACTCTGGGGGTTGCAGGCGCATGCTAAGACTGCAGGTGCAGGGGGGGCAGCACACATTGCCTTCAGCATGGGAGCCGAAAAAGGTTTGCCACCACTGCCCTAGGCCATCGGTCTAGTATACTCGCAAATGTATATGTAACTGTAAACATATACATCCGAACTAGACTGTTATTTCTCTGTGTCATATATGTGGGTAGGTGCATAATTTTGTATTTATTTATTTATCTTGTCATGTTTATGTAGTGTATATTAGAGGTGGACAATAAAGTTATTCTAAAGTCTAAGTCTATAGTTTAAGGAGTACTATATTAAACAAGATCTCTCCAAATTATAATTTAAATGCTATTAGGCAATGATTGTGATTCTGTGTGATTTTATATGAGATTGTAAAAAAAGCATATTTTGTGTACCAGTTAATAAAAATAGAATCCCACAGTACAAAGGAGATGGGTGGGTTTAGGAAGTATTTGAAGTTTA